GGCATAGCCCACAGCCTCGTCGAACCACACAAGCCCCCTTGACACATCAAGGCAGTGATCTATGAGATATATGAAATATAATACCCTTATGGTATTTTCCCAGTTGAATGTTGAATATGCCAATAAGTAGGCCTTTGACTTTTGCAGTAAATGTTGCCCCCTCCCCTAAAATCCACTTGTTTATCTCACCTGAACCTACCAAGGATGAGACTTAGCAGTGCTGGAGAGGTGGCATCTTCTACCTACGACCACTCCCATAATTCATCTATAGATGTATGAGATATAGCCACAAGGAAGCAATAACCTATTCAAAAGTAGCAACAACATATGTTATCAGACTGTATAAAGTAGCCAAATGGGCAGACATTGTAGGAGACAAATGCTTGTGATGTATCACAAGGTGTAATATTTCAGAACTGTGGATCAGAACTAGTTATTTAATCCATCACCTGTGGTGAACAGAGATGGCATAGCAAGGCAAATCAAGAACTAATTTCCAATATATATGACACGGACATTGAAGGTTTCTGTATTAATTTAGATATTGTGCATGTTTCACCAGAAATCACCATTTGCTTAGTTTTACTACCACTGAAGTGCAATAAATTAGAATGTTAGCCAATTGCTAGGCCCTTTGGGGAGACTGATCCATGTTTTTTGAGACCTATTTTTAAAAGTCAGAAGTCAATTTCCAGTTTTAACCTGCTAGTTTTCCTTGAACTAACTTCTTAGATGTAGCACACAGAAGCAGAAACCTGCTGCAGACAACTAAAAAAACATTGTTGTTATCATCATCATCATCATCATTATCATTATTATTAAGCCAGTCATATTGTGTTAGTTTAATCTGAAAGACCATTTGCAAGGTGATGATGGGGGATCTTAAAAAGATGATAGGACTCAAACTGTGACTGAGTGGAGCCTGCTGAGCTGGGAAAGCAAGATGAAAAGGGGGAAGAGCCAACATCTTATTTTTAAAAAATAAAACAGAAAGAAAGCAATAAAGCAAAAGGCATTTCCTACAGGTAGCTATTAAATCATTGAACATGTAGGCCTCTTGAGAGACACCGGCCCCTCTTTCCTTCCCAGAATGGGATTTTTATGACCATTTCTCATGTAATGCTCAGGGTCTTCACTTGGGTCTCTCCAGGTTTTTAACCCAGATTCATGCCACAGTTCCGTTGGAGATGGACCTTCACCCATGCATCACTTTCAAAGAATTTTGAATGGCTCTCTAGTGACACTAACCGAGGTTTCTGTTTTTCTCGTGATAATGTGCTAATGGTCTGAGACCCAGATTACATTCTCTCTACACACGATCATTTGTCAAACTCACTACATGATGCTGGAAATGGGGTGGAGGAGAAGGGGGAAGACAAAGGAGTGTGTACTTGGCTCTGCTTTTCTTTTCTCTCCCATGCAAGGCTCCCTTAATCTTTAAAACATCTGATTGGACATCTGAAAAATAACCAATGGCATTTTTTTTTACTCTTTCACATTTATACGAGGCCACTGAACATCTTCTTTGAAAAATTTAAAAAAAGCAGAACCAGACTTATTTTAAAGAAATTTTCACCTTTGGATCAAAAAAAGTACCACGGAGTTTGTTCAGCTCCCCCCCTCCATTTGGATTGATCATTTTTAACAGAATGTGTACGCAAGTTTGTGTGATTTGTTTTAGCTTTCATGAACAATTCCTGAAGGCCACAATAAAGGTAACTACTCCTGACCAGGGCAGAATATTTTACACAACAAAAATCTCTGTGTTCTGATGTTTACTGAAATATTCAGTGTGAAAAGTATTATAAACTCTAATATTACAAAACTGAGGGGGATTAAAGTGAATGATGTTAATTCAGTTTCAAAAAGCATAAAATGCACTGACTGGTACAAGGCAGCACTATCTGGCCCAATATATTTTCCACCATCATCTAACGTCTAGTTTGCAACACATAATTTGATTTAACAGTGAATAGGTGAGCTCTGCAACATTTGTTGGCAACTTCTGAATTGAGTGAAAGAAAGCAACAAGTATCCAACTCAACTAAACCCAGCAGTTCAACTTCTCTTTTGTTACATTTTGTCATTTGATATGGGGCCGTGTTATACCTTTAAAAATATGATATTTAATGTCAATTGCTCTCCACACCGATGAGGCAGAGTTCCTAACTTCAAATTATTTAACAGGCACCAGAGTGCTTTAAAAAAAATCCAAAAAATATACTGATATCCAGTTTTATTTGAAATCATGGCATGAAATCAAACTCTTTTCGATGATTACTTTATGTGCATGAGCCATTGCTGGCAGCACTCCCATACTCTGGCGTCCTCCTTCAGTGGCCTGAAGTCCAATTAGACTTCACCTCAGGTAATTCTTCAAAAGAAAATTCTAATAAAATTCTAATAATTTTAATTTGATGGGCGACATGTCAGGGAAAATACTAACAACCTCAAATCCAGTATTAACCTGTGGCGGAAAACCAGCCAGGGGGTATTTCCACCAGAGAGCTTGGAAACTGTTCAATGGTTGGGGGAGAGGGGAGGAGGCCAGACAGAGAAGAGCTGAAGTAAAGCAGAGATGGCTCTTTGCCAAAATCTCCTTCTAACCAAATATTCATGGATTAGGTTTTGGACTTCAGAACACTGGCTGACAATTAGCTACACTTAATATCAGAAGGGCCAGCAAGAAATTGGCATAGAGAATTTCCAACATTTCTATGTTCTTTAGAAGTGAGGTTCTAACCCCAGCTACATCTTCATTTGAATCCAGGAAGGGTAAGAGTAGGAACAGGACAGCCTTCCGACGGAATAGGCTAGCTGCTTGATTCACTGGCTTGCTCCTGGCTTAACCTGCACTGATTCGGAACATAAGATTTTTCCTATTTCAGCCACCAGACTCGTGCCTTTTCTCCCATTTCCATATTGAGCACCCCCCCAAAAAAACCCCTCCATTTAAAAAATATTTTTTTAAACCACAACCCCCCCCCCATATTTCCTGCCATGGTGCTGTTGGGCCGATGTGTTCCATGGTCTAGAGGGGAAAGTAAAGTTCATGCCTGAATGCAAGGACTGTCCCTCCTATCCATTTGGGGCAATAAGTCAACCCACTACCCCAGCAACACAATGGAAAACGTTTTTTAAAAAAAATTAGTGGGGTGGCCAATATCATAACACTGTTGGGTTTTTTTGAATTTACATTTTTATTGAGTATATCAGTCAAAACACAAACATAAATTCATTATTCATCTTATCGATATCCTCATTTTCCATTTTTAACAATCGTAAAACAAAGGAAAAAAATCCATCTGAGGTTACTATTACAACAACCAGAAATTTTTCACTCTTTTAGTCCCTCCTCTTTTCCTATGCCCCTATCTTACCCGTTTATAAATCCCATCCAACTTCCCCATAACTTATAGATACTCATAATACCACTCAAAACCTACAATTCATTCTAACTCGCATAATACTATTTTCCCTGTATCTTCTTCTGTACCTAAAATGAAAAATTGAAAGGGTTGCCTCCAATTATGGGTGCTATAGAGAAGCACTCTACAGCAAGAGGGGAAACCACCTCTCTCCCTATATACAGAGGTCTTGGGGGGGACACACTCTTCGTCTCCTTGCTATACCCATTCATATCATAACACTGTTCTTCAAAAACAACATTACAAAGCATATTAAATACTAAATTTCTAGTTCTGGTTGACATGCACATAGACTTAAATGACCATGTACTATACTTCTGTGGTATGTGTGGCTGTGTGGGTGTGCCTGGCTTTATTACTTTAAAAAAACAACACTGGTTTTTTTTTTGCAATACTGCTGTATACCACTTTTCCTCTCACAGGCCAAAAATAATGTATGGGAAGCTATTCATTAGTGAAGGGGGAGTAAAAAAACATTTTCTCCTCTTGCCATCTCATCTCTGGAATTAGCACTGGAAAGAGCCAATGAAGTCCTCCTTCCCTTACTCCAAGCAATGGAAACACGCCATTCTTCTTCAAAACAGCAAAAAGAACCCCCCAGAGTTACAGTACACCAGTATACCAGGGTCACTTTCAAAGAGGAAAACTCTTGAAACGATCAGGACTAAGTTTGAAGGAAGATTGTTTTATTGAAAAATACTGGTTAAATGTAAATCATACACACCAAACGATCCAATAACACACGCAAAAAAGGGTACAAAGAAACAGAGGAGCTTAGAGACATAGAGGGAGTTATGGGGTGATATTTACCATCCAGATGTGCAGAAGTCCATCACAGGGAGACCCTATTGCAAACAAAAGGAGACCAAAATTGTGAGTTTGGGGGTGCTACTCTGTTAGGTGCCCTAGAATGACACACAGAGCTGTGACTGGGCAGCCATTTTATAGATTAGAGAAGGTGTCCTGTGGGGCAGGACTATGGGTCTGATCAAAGGACTAAGAGGTTTCCCAAACTCTGATCAAAAAGGTGTGATGGCACCCTAGTGGGTATATCCTGGAGTGTGCATGTAGGATTGATGGCTGATACTATCTTAACTTCAAGGTATACCATATTTTTCGCTCCATAAGATGCACCTGACCATAAGACACACCTAGTTTTAGAGGAGGAAAACAGGGGAAAAAATATTCTGAACCAAATAGTGTAATAAAATATTTAATAAACTATAACAGAATAACATTTAGTAGGTGTTTTGCAGAGAAATGTCACTAAAGGAGATTTACACATCAAAGAGACAAAGGAGCTTTCAGAGAAAGAAGATCTCCATATTGGGATGTGCTGGAATGCTGAGAACTCATACTTATCTGCGGGTGGGGGGAGGAGCAGAGTGTACATAGAAAAAACAGATGGTATACCATATTTTTCGCTCCATAAGACGCACCTGACCATAAGAAGCACCTAGTTTTAGAGGAGGAAAACAGGAAAAAAAATATTCTGAACCAAATAGTGTAATAAAATATTTAATACACTATAATAGATTAACATTTGAACCATGTAAAGTGAACAGCCATGCATTAGAGCAGTAATGACGGGGTGCACGGTGGTCCGGGGTGTGTGTGTTGCATTCTATGGTAATCCAAGGACTGGAGGGGGCGATGAGGGAGGTGCATCTGGGGAGGAGGGTGGAACCGAGGAGCTGCTCCCAATCCAGTCAAGCTGGCATCTGTATGTAATATATATGGGAGTCTCCAATTAGAAAAACTCAAGACAGGTGCAGTTGTCAACAATTTTTTAATAGTTTCAAAGGCTTCTTGACAGGCTTCAGACCACTGTCCTTCTAATTCTTGAGAATGCTTGCCAAAACGATGCCCCTTTTTCTTACATGGTGCACTACCTGCTAATAGTGAAGTCAAAGGCTTGGTAATACTAGAGTAGTTCTTCACAAATCTCCTATAATACCCTGCAACACCTAGGCAGGTTCTTAGTTCTCTTATAGTTTTCGGCCTTGGCCAGTCCATCAAAGCTGACAGTTTATCTGGGTCAGGTTGTATGCCTTCCTGGGAAATGATATGCCCCAAGTACTTCACTGATGTTTGAAAGAACTTGCACTTGGAAACTGACAGTTTTAACCCATGTTCTATCAACCGTTGCAGTACCTTCATCAGCCTTGCCTCATGCTCTTCTAGGGTTGCTGAGAATATTATCAAATCATCTAAAAATGCTATTACCTCTGTGAGGTTGATATCCTTCATAACACGCTCCATCATTCTTTGAAACGTTGCTGGGGCATTCGTGAGTCCTTGTGGCATCATACGGAACTGCCAATTCCCCATTGGTGTAGTGAATGCTGTTTTGGGCTTGTCTTTCTCCTCCATTTCGATTTGGTAGTATCCACTCTTTAAATCCAGGACAGTAAACCATTTGGCTCCAGAAAGCAGAGAAAAGGTTTCTTCTATCCTGGGTAATGGATAGGCGTCCTTCCTTGTGATGCTGTTGAGACGTCTATAATCTACCACCATCCTCAGTGCCCCACTCTTCTTCCTAACCAGGACTATAGGAGAAGCATACGGACTATCTGACTCCTCTATTATACCACTTGCTAGTAGTTCATAAAGATGCTGCCTTAAATCTTCAAAATCAGCTGGTGAGACAGATCTTGTCCTTTCTTTAAAGGGCATATTATCGGAAAGGTAAATGGCATGCTTCACTCCTTTAATATGGCCAACGTCTAAATCATGCTTTGAAAAAGCTGCTCCTGCTTCTTGCTGAATCCTCTTCTCTACATATTGCTTGTAGTCAGTACTTATGGGTGATTCCCCAAAGTCCAAAGAGAGGGAAGTGTTATCGTTTTCACTTATAACTGGCATGGGCTTGATCCAATCTACAACCTCCCCTCGTGCAAGAACACATTTTGGGGGTAACGTGATGCTATGGGAACTTGCATTCTGTAGATGTACTGTGACTCTATTGCAAGAAGCTGAAGTTGTGGTGGCCAACTGGGTTTTTAACATTAACCCTCCTGGAAAGCATTTGTTGTCTGCATCTTCCAACAACATTTTAAGCTGTCCTTCTTCTGGTAATTTTCTTACTTTTCCAACAATATCTTTTACTTCTCCTGGAGGTATTATTACCGGCTGACTTTCTGCAGCTCTTACTATCCGCTTCGTGTTTCTCTTCTGTGCTTTGCACACTGCGTATGCTTTTGCCCATATGTCATTAACTTTCAGCTTCTTCAGGAACTGTGGGCCCGCCATTTCTTCACAGTCGGCCTTAAACTTCTGTAGGATATTGGTACCCACAATAACTGGGACTATTGTTGGGGGATTTTGATCAGGGCATATTAGAGCAAAAACCATCTGGCTCCTTTGAGTTCCACAGTTTTCTTTGGGAAAACTAACAGAAACAACTACATACCCCAAATAAGGGACCTCTTGACCCCCTGCTCCTATTACCTGCAGTGCTTCTTCTATTGGGTGCAATTCTATATGTGACAAGTATTTCTCATAAAACCCTAAGGTTATGCAAGTCACCTGAGAACCTGTATCTATTAAACATTTACATGGCACTCCCTCTATAAACATATGAGTGTGGCAAGGGTCTCCCACTATTTCATTTAGCACTTCGTTCACCCCCATAGTTTTGTGGGTGGCTTTTTGGAGCTTAACATTAGCTCTTTTTGAAGATTTTGAAACATGGCGCATTGACCGCTGCTCTTGCCTGGAGATTAACTTTTCTTGCACCAACTCGGCATTGCGCTCATTGGTGCACTCAGTTTTAGAGTGGCCTTCTATCCCACAGTTATAACAGAAGAACCAATGGCTACTTAACCTAGGCCTATCTGATGGTGAAATTTTAATGTCTTCTTGTTTGGGCTGATCCATCTGCTTCTGAGTAACAGGTCTCTTCATCAGTTCGGCAATAGCCCCCTCAAGATGAGACAGTCTATCTTCTACCTTTCTTGGTTCTATAGCGGCAACACTTACAGGGCTCCCAGATTCCATGATATGACATGAACTGCTAGATTTGTTAGGTGGTCTTCCTAACTGCTTAAGCCTTCTTTGCTCTTTTATTTCTTTTTCCTCTTCATATACTCTGACTTGGTATAGCAGCTGAGAGTAAGACTTCTTGGAAGTATTAGTAGTATCCAAATGGTCTCGCAGATGGAGTTGCATAATTAGAGACTCATCCCAACATCCACGAATAAATTGTTTCATCAGCTGTACTTCCTGATTTTCCAGGACTTCTGTCTTCTTCTCCACTACCTTCCTCCAAGAGTTGTTCAATCTTCTCAAATACTCAGAGGGTCTTTCAGAAGGTTTCTGGAATGTTTCTAAAAACTGAGCATAGAGTTCATCACTACTTGTCACAGGGCTGTATATCTTTTCCAGCTGTGCCAAACACTCCTCTGCAGTGGCACTCTGCCCTGCATGCAGAGCTTCATTTAGGGCTGGGGGCGATAAACTTTCTACTAGTTTCCTTTTTTTTCCTTTGCAAGATATCTCTGGATCATCAAGAAGCTGATGTACTTGTAGCCTCCATGTGTCAAAATCTACTTCACCAGTTGGTCGTGGTGAAAGGCCAGAGAAGCATTTCAGCTTAAAAGGTGTATAATCATAAGTGGCAGTGGCTTCATTAGGCTTTATCACATGCTCTACTATTGTTCTATGTACTGCTTTAGGGATGGTGAAGATGGGTGTAGACTGCGCTTGTACATCTGGTGGAGAAAATGTATTCCTGCCTGAAGGATGTATAGGTGAAATGTCCTCTATTTCTTCAGTGATTTGGGTCCCTTCTAGTTTGGGGGAGCCACCCAGGTTGGGAAGGGGAATTTTTCCTAACCCCATAGCAAACACACTCCATTTACCATTTAATTTTGCCTGTTTACATTCTCTTCTTACCATTCTGGCAGCACATACTTTACTATATTCACAGAAAGCAATGCCTTGCTCGCTGCCTTGTAAACTTTTTAACTGAATAACAGCCCCATACTCCCCTAGAGCATGTAACATCTCCTCAACGGTGGTAGCGCTGTCTGTGCTTGGGCACCAATTTTTTTATGTAACTCACTAAGGTCCTAATATCTGCAGGGAGAGTGGGCAGGTTCAGTCGGTTTTGGCAGCGGAACTCCCACCTATGGTTATTAAGACTGTGTAACTGCTGCAACTACACATATGCTTAAACACAGACATAAAAGCGGCAATACAACCAATGCACTTTAACATTTAAAATAAACTCTTTATATAAACAAAGCATGGAGGTTTTCATATAAATCCTCATTTATCCCTGGTTGGTTGCTATTACTTCATAGCAATGAATCTGCAGGATATTACTGAGTACAGATATCTTCAGCATCCGTGTATTAAACTGAGTCTGCCCGTATGCAGCCAGAGTTTGTGAAGAAGGAGTAGGAAGAATATGTGGGTATGGTCTGTTGGAAGGGTATAATTGGTATGCTGGGCTCACAACCAGCCAATTAAAAGGTAAACAATGGTTCCTTATAAGCAGGCCCTGGCTTCACTACGCACATATTTGAGCATGCTGCTGATTTACTCACCCACCCACTGTAGAGAAATATGGGATTAGACAATTGTCATTAGGGACTGACCAGGAATCTTTTTTGCTTCTCCTCAGTCTGGCTTGTTTAAGAGGGTCTTTTTTATGTGCTTCATGATGTGGGGTTATAAACAGGACTGGTATGTGACATGACTACAGTTGTTCAGTCACACAGTCGAGTCCGACTCTTCACGACCCCATGGACCAGATCACGCCAGGCCTTCCGGTCTTCCACCATCCTCTGAAGTTTGCTCAACTTGACTAGAGTTGACTACAGTTACCAACCTCCAGATGGGGCCTGGAGATCTCCTGGTGTTATAACTCATCTCCAGATGACAGAAGTTCCCCTGGAGAAAATGGCTGATTTGGAGGGTGGGGCCTATGACATCTCCAGACTACAGAGATCATTCCCACAGCACCACTGCTGAACTCCCTCCCCTCCCCAAACCCCTTCCCCAGGTTCCATCCCCAAAATCTCCAGGAATTTCCCAACCTGCAGTTAACAACTCTATGACAGGCAAACAAATTTCCATAAAATAAATATTTTTACATGAATGTGCTGACTTTTCCTCTCCAAAAATTAAAAGAATTTTCAATGTTAAATGCAAATTTCCTATTGGCTTATTCCAACTCCATCCCATTCCCAACTTGGATTAAGAAAGTCAGTAAGGGGCCACAAGGGAAACTCCCAGGGATAGGAAATGGAGGAGAAGGAGTTTGGGTGAAGTAAAGGCTCCCCCCCCCAAAAAAAAAAGTCTACATTCACTTTATATATTTATTTATTTATTATTTTAGATTTCTATCCCACCTTGCCTGCCCGCCTTTAATGTATTGAGAAAGTATCAAAGTCAATATTTAAAAACAAAACAAAAACAAATCTAAAATTGTTCCCCCCCACCCCCACCGATATGGTAAGTTGTTTAAAATTTGCCTCACCAGCCTCTGGCCCTTGTGGCCATGCGCCTGGGAGGTGCCTTTGCAAGGAGGGGCAGCCATTTGTTATAGCAGCAAAACGTTGCATACGGGTCTTCCTGAAGGGGGTGGGGCCGGTGCATTTATATGCTGGCCCTGCCTCCCAATCTCAGTCTTTATCTGGCTTTTGGCAAGTGTGGGAGCCTTGCTGAGCTGCTCCCAGGGGTTGGGCCTACCTTGGCCTGGCAGGTAGAGTACGCAGCATCAGGGGCTCCCAGTCAATCAGGAGGCATGGCTGGCTTCAGCCGCAGAGTGTGGTGATGGCAAGCAGCTGCGGAGCACCAGTCCACAGCAGCTGGCAGCGGCGGCTTATGGTGGCAGTCTGCAGGTTTGGCCTCCAGCACTGGCAGGCAGTTGGTGGTGGTGATACGAGGTGGTGATTGCAGATGGTGGTTCTGGGCAGCAGCAAGTGGCAGGCGGTGGCCTCTGTGGGGGGTTGCAGCAAATGGTGTAGCAGGCCAATGGTGCAGGGCTTAGCCTGGGCCTTCAGGCGGCTGGGTTGCTCAGCGGCAGTGCACAAGGGGCTGTTGAGGACCCCCCCCCAGCCTGGGAAAGCAACCAGTGGGACAAGGGGTGTGGGCTCTGGGGCTCGGCTCAGTGGTCCTGGTGGGGTGGGGCCAGAGTGTTCCAGCAGCAGAGTTTGGGGCCATCTGTCCCAGAGGTCATTCTTCTCTACCTGTGGATGGGCCAGCCAGCAGAAGGGTTGGAGTGTCCCAGTCAACCCCTTCTGATATTTTCTGGTTTTGCACCAGGACCTGGTATTCCCAGGGGGGCTTGGGTAGGCTCAGGTTGGGCTTAGGCTGCTATTGGGGAGCAGCAGCCATTTTGTGTCCCAGGTGGTGGCCATTTTGTGTTCTCAGGTGGCAGCCATTTTGAGGCTTGAGGGTTGCCATTTTGGGCCAGCAGGTGGTGGTATTTTTACAGCTGCTGGTATAGCCAGTTTACTGTGGGGGCATCTGGGGAACTAAAAAAGGCACTGGCCGTTCTAAAGGTAAACAACCTGCACTCAAAGCACCACTTAAGAGGCCTGCCCCTATTTTATCATCATCAGAGGATGATGATGGTGACGAAGTGCAGCAGGCTATCTTAGATAGTTTGAAGGCTCTGGAACAATCCACAGGGGTTTCCCTGCCATCTACAGGGGCTGGTGATGGGGCTCGCGGGAAAAAAGAATTGCATTCTTCTTCCAATAAGCACTTTTAAGCAGATGTCTTAACTCATTTGTCTCTTCTTGAGGGGAAGACTTCCACTTCGGCAGGGAATGGTGGCGGTGGAGCACTGCAGAAGGATTCTGGTGTGGCTTCTGAGGCTGGATCTTCAACTCAGCAACAGCTGATGGATGTTCAGGCTGGACCATCCATGGCTGTGGATAAGTCTGATGCCACACCTTACACCAGAGGGAGTTGGCAATGGGGGCAGCATGTTGCTGTCAGGCCTGGGTCTTCAACCCCGGCCTCCCCAACATATTGCCAAGGGCAATGACAGTCTTGGGGAAGCCCTCCCAGCCAAGGTACCCCCAGGCAGGTTTTACTGGCATGTTGAGGCAATCACATTCCATGCCACCCATACCATAGTGGGGCAGCCCCTCTCCCTGGCTCCCATGTCGGCTCTCCCCTTTGACAAGCTGGCACTTCCACTAGGGGATCACCTGTTGCCAGCTACAAGGGACAAGATTTGTAGGTGGGAATACAGACATCTTTACTCTTCTTTTCCAGGAGTTGGAAAAGAAGGAGAAGGATAATCTGGAGGACAGGGACAAGGAAAAGCTAAGACAGATGTAGACAGAACTTGGGCTAATTGGGTCACCGGTTTCTTGGTATATGCTGGGGTGCTTTCAAAAGCACAGCCTTTGAGGGCAGCTTCATTGTTTCAGTATTTCAGTATTATTTATAAGGGTTACACTGGTTTTAATGGCCCTGCTTGGTTGCAGTACGATGAGGAATTCAGGATCAGGGCTGCCATGAACTCTTTGTTGCAATGGGACCAGATACATCCCCAGCTCTGGCTGCAGGTCGTGTCACCGGCATGGCCGAATCTGGGTGATCGGTCCCACAGTGGTCATTTAGTGCATCACT